TTACGAACTCGTCTTTAAAAAAGACAAACTATCACTGCGAGGCTTCATGAATGCAGACTGGAAGAATTGCATCATAGACAGACGTTCCTACCACAGAATCAGCATTTATACTTAGTGGAACCGCAATAATGTGGAAATCCTGCAAGCAAGAGACGGTTGCGCTTTCCTCAGTAGAAGTGGAATATATGGTAACGTCAGATGCAGATAGGAAGCTCTGTATCTCATACGATTGCTCTGCGAGCTCGAGTGTTCGAGTCTGACTACCGTTACAATCTATAATGACGTAGGACAACTGACATGAAATCTCATTTATCACTCAAGATCGAAACATATTGATATAAAACATCACTTAATTAGAGAAATCCTGAGAAATCATCCGGACCTAATCTATTTACCTACAGAAGAAATAATCTCGGATATCCTAACCATGTCAGTTGATCAAACATTTATATTGTTCGGCGGGCTTAGGATTATCTTTATGCAAGTAATATTCGGGCTCAAATTGAGAGGAAGTGTTAGATAATCAGATATCGCTTTCATTGGCTTAATAGTTTTGTTACTGCTCGTTGCGCCCTCATCGCCAATCTACAATAGTTTCCATTTTTTATATGTCATTTTATTCTACATCGTACGAAAACGCTCACTGACATGGCGTCTTAAGAGAATATATATATCTCGTATTACTTTGAACATTCATTCTGAATATATTGTGTTAATCCACATTCCTATTAAAGTTTAGTTATGTTCGATAGATCTTGTGTTATTCACTCATGTCTAATATGCTAAGTACCCTACTGCGTCAACACCGTCATTGATTCGGGAATTTATTGTGAAGATGTATTGAATCAATCATTTTGAAACATTTAGTATACTTTATTATCTAATTTGAAAAACATTTTTTATCTTGTAATATATCTTTCAATATTACTGTCCCCGATAGCCAAACCTGCGGAGACAGATTTTGAGCAGAGCCTAGTATAAATTTTTTATTGCAGAAAGGCAACAAACTGTACACAGAGTTTCCACTATCAGACAATGTCAACAAACTGCTGTCAAAAATATGACAAAGCCTGCTGACATCAAATTGGACAGAAACTGAACAGAGTCTGCTGCATAACCTGATAGCAAATTGCAAGCAGAACAGCAGAACCTGCTAACATAAGATCTGTCAACAGATTGGCAGCAAAAATCGAGCAAGATCTTCCATTTTCATATATATCACTGTTAGATGGACTTGCTTCTTATAAGAAAAAAACGTACAGGGATCTTATAAAAATTAGCTTATGTAAATCGAATAGGCAAATCTCCTAAAAATTCCCAAGCTCTTTCGGAATGTGTTCTGAATCTCTGTGAATATTTTTTTTTTACTATTTTATAACTTTCTTATGTATATTTTGAAATGTAGCTAATCAATGATATTTTAGCTAAATGAAACCGGATTGTTTCCAGTTTTCACACCAGTATATATAAATATATTAGGTGTTGGAATTAATTCGTAGCGTTTTACAAGTGATGGGAAGTACTTTCATTAATGTATTTTTTAATGCTCATGTGAAATAAATAACATTCTTTCATTAAAAAACGCTACGAATTAATTCCAACACCTAATAATATATAATTATGTATAATTATATATATGTACACAAAAGTTATCTTATAAGAAATCAGGTCAATTTAAATGAAAATAACAGATCTTGCTCAGTTTCTGCTACTAATCTGCTGTCAAGTTATGTCAACAGACTGCTCAGTTTCTGCTCGCAACCTACTATCAGATTCTGTCACCAGGTTCTATTTAATTTCTGCTGCCAATCTGTTTGCATAGAATGTTAACAAGTTTTATCGGCAGAACAGAAGCAGAATGCGACATCAGTTGTGGTCCGTCTGTTAACATTTTCTGATCAAATCTACAACCAATCTGTCAACAATCTACTAACATTTTGCTATCTGAGTGTTGCAAGGATGTATGTCCAACTATTCAAGAAAAAAGGTGCTTCTCTCCGTGAAGTGTAAGGATTGCTGCTTTTATCTAAAATCAAAAATTCGAAATGGAAACGTTAGTTAATGAATATAGGCTCAGTATAGATCGATTTTTAGATCAATATTTTTGAAATAAACAATTGTTTTTTAGCACTATCTATTTTTTTAAAAAACACATTTTTTTCTTTTGAATATCGCTATTTTTTAATTTTTGCCTTTTTAAATTTAAAATTAGATTTATTCATGCTGAACGTATATTAAATAACGTTTCCATTTTGAATTTTTTATTTCAGATAAAAGCAGCAGCCCCTACACTTCACAGGCGCAGAGCATCTTTTTTCTTGACTGCTTGGACATACATTCTTGTAACACTAATATTGAAAGATATATTATACAATAAAAAATATAAAAATAACAGCATAAAAAATCACAGCACATGTTATAGTTTGTGATATTTAATTATTATTACATTAATTAAAACATTAATTTCGGTCACAATCTGGCCATCTTCAGTAATTCAATAATATTCTTAAAACACAGAGTTATCTAGTTGACATTAAATTCAACAGTCGGGAGTTGTAATTAAATAAACATGTTCTTTTCTATGTGAAGATGCTTCATACAATGATGTTACAATGCCAGTTGTCATATCAAGAAAAGTATAGAACAAGAATTTCCAGATTCTAATTTAAATAAAATTGTATATCATTAATATCTTCTAGTAGGAATATAAAGAAATAGAATCATTACCTGTTTTACCAAAAACTAAACGATGAATCTCAAATACTTCTTTTGCACAATTAGAATATTGTCGTGACATTATGTGTTGTTATTTGTCCTATCATGTATTTTACCACTATTTATATATCTGAGTTTTATTAAAAGAAAGAGAGATCCTTCTTTAGAAGAGGAAAATAAACATCAGGCAAACCTTCCGTGTCACTTTGCTTATTGATATCACTTGTTTGTCTTTCTATATGTATCATTTCCGAAATTCTTCTTTTCATTAACGATTGTTCCGTATCTAAAATTCTTATATTATCCCAATCTAATTCATGCATCTCATTCAAACGGTGTCGTGAAACCACCGAAATTTCGGAAGGTTTTTTTTTATGTCAGCCTCATGTTCTTTAATCTGAGTTTTTAATTTCCTTTTAGTTTGGCCAACATAAGACGATTCACAATTTAAACAATTAATTTTATAAACTACTCCGCATTGGTCATCCTTTTCTTTATGTAAAGCTAACACAATATCATCCACGTAACGAAAATAAAAAGATGAAATAATATTATTCGTAATAATTTCTTGTTCAAAATCTTGTAAAACTATGTTCGCCAGTATGAGGGACAAAGGAGAACTCATTGGCATGCCAAAAATCTGTTTAAATATTTTATTATCAAATTAAAAAATGTGGAATTAATTATAATCATAATTGCTTTGATAAACTAAATTAATGAGACAAGAAGGAAATATCATCTTCGATATTTATAAAAAACCTACTAATTCTGAGAGATATTTAAACTATTTTTCGAATCATCCGTTAGCACATAAAAGGGGAGTAATTATTGGGCAATTTGATAGAATTCTATTTTTATCCCATCCTAAATTTCATGAAAAAAACATCTCTGAATTGATTCACACGTTCCTAAGTAATGGTTATCTTTTAAAGTTCATATTTTCAACAATAAAGAATAGAATTAAAACATTGGAAAATAGAACTAATTTAGATCAAAATCGCGAAGAAATTAATAATGAATGTGACTCTAATGTTACTTCAAAAAAATTTTTCACGATACCATACTTGGGCAAAGTTTCTGAAAAATTCAAAAAACTTTCACATGTTTATAGTTTGAATATAGCTTATAAACCTATGAATAAAATGAATATTAAGACAGGAAAGAATTCTTTGCCTAAGGATGACCAATGCGGAGTAGTTTATAAAATTAATTGTTTAAATTGTGAATCGTCTTATGTTGGCCAAACTAAAAGGAAATTAAAAACTCAGATTAAAGAACATAAGGCTGACATAAAAAAACCTTCCGAAATTTCGGTGATTTCACATCACCGTTTGAATGAGATGCATGAATTAGATTGGGATAATATAAGAATTTTAGATATAGAACAATCGTTAATGAAAAGAAGAATTTCGGAAATGATACAAAGATAATATAAAAAGACAAACAAGTGGTATCAATAAGCAAAGTGACACGGAAGGTTTGCCTGATGTTTATTTTCCTCTTCTAAAGAAGGATCTCTCTTTCTTTTAATAAATAATCTAGAACTTTCTAAACTGTTGACTCAGATATATAAATAGTGGTAAAATACATGATAGGACAAATAACAACACATAATGTCACGACAATATTCTAATTGTGCAAAAGAAGTACTTAAGATTCATCGTTTAGTTTTTTTACTGTAAAACAGGTAATGATTCTATTTCTTTATATTCCGACTAGAATATATTAATGATACACAATTTTATTTAACTTAGAATCTGGAAATTCTTGTTCTACACTTTTCTTGATATGACAACTGGAGTTGTAACATTATTATATGAAGCATCTTCACATAGAAAAGAACATGTTTATTTAATTATAACTCCCGACTGTTGAATTTAATGTCAACTAGATGTAACTTTGCGTTTTTAAGAATATTATTGAATTACTGAAGATGGCCAGATTGTGACCGAAATTAATGTTTTAATTAATGTAATAATAATTAAATATCACAAACTATAACTTGTGCTGTAGTTTTTTATTTTTATATATTTTTATAACCACGTTAGTTTTCAAGATATACAATAAAAAATGTTTTCCAAATCTTCAATTATATAATAAAGTATACTAAAAATTTCAAAAAGATTGATTCAATGTATGCTTCACAATAAATTTCAAATATTAATGAACTTTTAGATGTTTACATGACCTTCCCCCCTTTACAAACGCAGTATAAACCCACGCTCGTTCTAGTATTATATTTCAGTTACTATTGTATATTTCATTTTTTGTATCGCTAGATTCGCTCAACTGATTGAAGATACGTTTTCGTTAACGCTGGCTATACAAATAGCGCTAAATACAATAATGATCAGCATTACCTTGTTACAAGTATGTATTTTTACCTTATTGTTACAAATATTATTTATTTTTGTCAAAAATTTATTCAGCATGTCTTTCGTACATTGTTAATAATACATATTGCCCCTGGTGAAAAAATGTCTCTAAAAATTTTGCTGCAAATGTCTAAAAACGTTTTTCAGAGATTTTTAATAATATTCAAAGATTTTCTCAAGGAAATTCAAGGATTATTAACGAATTCTCTGAAAAAATTTCTAAAAAAATGATTTCAATTTTGCTAAAATTCAGAAATTCAGTGATGTCTCTAGAAATAGAATTTTTACGTTTCAGAGATTTTCAGCAAATTCTGTGAAAATAATTCCCAAATGTCTGAAAGTCCGTGAATTTCGTTGAAACTCGGAAATCCAATGATATCTCTGAAGATAGAATTTTCATAATTTCTCATTTTTTCAGAGACTTTCAGCGAATTCTCTGAAAATCATTTCAAGCCAAGTATCTAAAAGTTCTTGAATTGCATTAAAACTCAGAAATTCAGTAATGTCTCTGAAGATATGGCTTTCACGGTTTCTCACTTTTTAGAGACTTTTTAGAGACTTTCAGGAAATTTTCTGAAAATAATTTTCAAGTGTCTAAAAGTCCTTGAATTTTATTATTAGGTGTTGGAATTAATTCGTAGCGTTTTTTAATGAAAGAATGTTATTTATTTCACATGAGCATTAAAAAATACATTAATGAAAGTACTTCCCATCACTTGTAAAACGCTACGAATTAATTCCAACACCTAATAAAATTCGAGAATTCAGTAAAATCTCTGAAGTAAAATTTTCATAATTTCTCACTGTTCAAAGATTTTCAGCGATTTTTTTGAAAATTATTTTCAAAGATCTGAAAGTCCCTCAATTTCGCAGGAGTGCATTTAGTGTCTCTGAAACTTAAATAGACAATAAATAACACATGTACCAATTGAAGAAGTGGTGTAGCGTAACGCAGGAAACTCATAATCGAGAAGTCCCAGAGCATCTAAATGAAAATCTGAAATAAGTTGTGTTCCAAAACAAAATGGATCCAATTAGAATTATTCCGTTTTCTCTAGAAAAATAATATAAATCTAGGAATAATTAAATAATTCTGATCGGAATCTATTCCGAATAATTTTGTAATACGTAACCAGATTCAAATCCCAATAACGTAAGTAAGTGTATTTTTCAAAATAATTTCAGATAAAATCATTGCATCTTATAATGATCATTTGTAAAAAAATCATTATATCTTGTATAGAACAACTTCTGTTAAAAAAAGAAATAAAATTTATAAGTTTTAAAATAAGAATTTTTTTTAAGTATCGCATTGAAAATCTCTAGAAATCTTTGACAAATTCTAAAAGTTCATGAATATACTGTAAAAAATTTTATAAAAATCTTTAAAAATATTTTGACAAATCTGTGAAATTATACTGAAAAATTCTCTGAAAACTTTGCAACATGTCCAAAAATATGGACATTTTCAAGAAATTTTCAGAAAAATTCAGAGAAATTTTTTTACCAAATACACTTTATAAAATTGAAAGAAATGGCATGTGCGAGAGGAATTAAAATATATGTTTCGTATTGGAGGTCACACAGCAGCAAGCCGGTATTTTAGAAATGATACGATATGTGATGTATGTTATTGGTCAATTGATCCATCTCTTCTGCCTCAGTTTCGAGGGACAAAAGCTGATAGATCACAGTCTTCAAATTCACAATAAGATGTAAGACGTATGTTTTGATAATATTTCATTTGGAACTTATTTAGCGTATATCGTTAAAGCATTACAGATATAAAAGTCTTTGGTACGAAACATCCCCCAAGTCGCAAAGGATGCTTCTATTTGTAATGCAAAAGAGTCTTCGACCTATTTTCTTAAGCGCTGGCAAGATCTATACTTTCTCAATGGAAAATTTCACCATGGTAAAATTAAACATATAATAAAGAATATAACTGTAAAATAATATCTATATACTCGTAAAATAATATCTATATAAGTTTATTACATCATATGTTTTAAGATAGTGCAAACTTCAATGTCGTACTTTACCGTACTCTCGTCTTTGGAATAATTAAATAATAGTCAATATCCAAATGTCAGTCCTGCAAACAGTTCATTCGCAAAAATATAAACCATAATTTTTATGTGACATCAAAACATAATTGTTACCTATTTGCGCGTGAGTAATGTTTACGTTTATGTGTAATTGTTGTAATAAATTTTTTATTACTCTCGCGTATTTCTGCGTATCAGTACTTGAAAACAAATAAAAGTTACATTACAAGAAAAAATATAACTTCGTATAAACATAACTTTGAAACATTTTTTACATAATGAAAGAATAAATATATAAAAATTATTGAATTTCAATTGTAAGATTTAGTATAATAATTTAGAAAAACTGTAATCTTTAACGCAATATAAACTGTAACGCAATATAAATGGACTTAATGATACAATTTTGCAATACGATTACAAGATATACATTCATTCGTTGTTATTACAAAAAAAAACGTAAAGTATTAGGTGTTGGAATTAATTCGTAGCGTTTTTTAATGAAAGAATGTTATTTATTTCACATGAGCATTAAAAAATATATTAATGAAAGTACTTCCCATCACTTGTAAAACGCTACGAATTAATTCCAACACCTAATACAATTGTTCTTCCCTCATGACCATCTAAAGTATCTGCAATGTTTATTAAGATAGTTTTGCTATTTAATTGGTCAAAGATAGATCTTAAATTTTTTAACGAATTCTCCGTTGTCATTGCTAAGGATGCAATTGTATACAATAAAGTTTATATATTATTTTGTCAATTTTTAATAAGAAAAATAAAAAAATAGAGATTAAAATGTAGTTAAAACATCACAGTGTATTGAAAAACTGAAGAATTTTCATAAAAATTCTACAATCAATACATATGTTTCATACGCGGGAGGGAATTCGCAAAAAGAATTCGTAAAATATGCTTATCAATAGGGTATAATATAAATGTACCCTATCCTATAAGAGTTACATGTCACTTTTTGTGCTGTGACATACTACAATTACTATGCAAAATCAATATAAGTCTATAACGTTTGTAAAATTATTATGTACGATGTGTGTTTGAGATCTTAGACAACTTTTCGTAACAAGGGATAGGAATTCGAGAACTTCGACATATTTTAAATCAGTCTGCGCAAGATCAGAGACGAAGGTATTGCCTGCGAGCTATGAATACTCGAAATCATTATTATGATATTGTTAAAAGAATATCATCGTTGGCCGGTCAGTGGCCTTATCAAAGACCAAAGACGAGATTGCTCTGTGTCAGCTTGGTGACTTTGAGTACATTTTCTATAAATGTTCCACAAGTAACATTTTTTATATATAAGACTATTTTTAAGAAGAGATTTATATTGATGCATAGTGAAATTTTTAGTCCGCTTAAATGATATACTTTCAGATGGCTAAATTTATAACATGTGACAAAGACTTGTCATGTATTTTTGAAACTATGACATCACTTATGTTAGCAATCATGAGTTTGGTGAAACTGTATACGTGCTATCTTAATCGCTACAAAGTATAGTATAATGCTATGTACATATAAAGTAGTTCTAGTAGTTTTAGTTCTAGTAGTCGACGTGTTTCTTGAACAAATGAAATTGGATACCTCACTTTTACTTGCGATAAAATTTTTCAATTTTTTCATTATTATGCACCTTTGATATAACACATGGAAAATCTAATCGATATTTAAGGGGATATTGGAGTGGTCAAATTGTCGGGACTTTGCAGATTGATATAAATCTCGGAATTTACTGAACGAAATAAAAAATCCTTTTATAGGATTAAAGTAGACGCAAAATTTTTAATAATGCTGAAAAAAAAATTAAAAACTTACAATATATTATAGGATATGTAATAACATAGTATATGTAATACAACATAGTATAATATATGTAATAACATAAACTATAGAAATCTAACTAGATTTTAAATGCTTGTATGATTCTGTATGAATTTATATACTACGTACGCAGTCTTTTGAAACGCGTGCCGAAATGATCTTTGAAGTAACCTTTCAAAAGTAGAGATTTCAAGCTTTAAAACCCTTTTTTTTTTAAATTTCGTTTAATGAAAATATTGTATATATAATTTTGAATTAAAAAATACGAAAAAACTTTCTCCAACTCAATATAACCGAGTTATGAAACTATTACATTGTTTCATTATTTATATGTTATAATAAACAATAATACAATGGCCTCCGTTGCGTGTTATATAACAACTGTTTCACTGATATTATATAAATGCTATATAATTTCAATTATGGTTCTAACGTCGCGGTCTCCATCAACGGCATCGCAAAGCGGTCTCTATGTCAGTCGAACTACGTGCTGTCGAACACGACAAAGCGCGACAAACGTGACAATTTGTAGTTAAATCATGAGAATTTACGGACAAATGAATATTACTTGTGCTATAGAAGAATATATTACTAATGAATTCGGTCACTTGCATTACAAATTATTAAATACCAATGCATACTAAAAGCTATATTACATGGAATTAGTGAAGTTAAATATAAAAGTGATAATTGGTGAGTTTAGCCTCCTGCCTCCGATGTTGATAAAGTTCATCCGATGCATAGGATCATTCGATATCTTTTTGCATGAAATGAACGAATTTGAAAAAATAACATATTATTTTGTTGCGTAGACCGAGATATTAATCGTTAAAGTGACGATTATTTCAGGTTAGGAAATTTATCACATTCATGGCATAGAGATAGACATGAGAATATGTAAGTAAGGCTATAATAGTATTTTTTACTCCAGAATTACATTAATTCTTTGCTTTAAAAACAAATTCTCTGCTTTAAAAACACAAATTCTCTGTTTTAAAAATCCTGGTAACAAAGTCTGCGAAAACAGATTTCGAACAGGGTTATCAATTTTTGATTGCAGAAAAGCAGTGTGAACACAGATGATTAGTTTTGTAAAATCTGA